AATGAATTTTATTTCCACCCCCCTATTTTTTCCCCCACCAAAATATTGTTGTTTCCCTGCATGTCTCATCACTAACAGAATAATGAATCATGTAACATAACATAATGTAAGTAGGTAATACACCAATCACTGACTTAATAAGTACCTCTCTCCTTGCCTCACTCAAATAAATATTAGGATTAATTACCTAGTGCTTAGGGTTTGCATATTTCTCTTCGTTGTTTGCATTTTATGTCGATGCCATAGAGACTCCGGTAATGTTAATTTTCATATTCTCTCATTTGCTTGTTGCATACAATTGCTCGTGATTCCTAGCATTAATCCATCTCAAGCTCATTGGTTAGAATGTTTCGGTTTTATTTTCTCGTTTTGTGTTTTGGACAATCGATTAGCGAACAAAGCTCCGAATAGCCTTCCTTTGAGAACGACCCGAGTCCGGGTAGCTCGGTTATCATCTACCCCCAAATTACTACAAACAGAATACAAAAAAAATTCTATTTTGCAATGAAAAATCCAACGGCCAGGTATTCTACAGAAAATTGCAACAAATATTTCATTGGTAAAGTTTTCATTGAAAAATTTCATTGGCTATTTCAATAGATATCAAATTAAATTACACTGAAACTTTAGTGGATTTAATGATTACAATTACGATTATTTATTTTTGTGTGAATTTCAATTTGTTTTCGGACCATATATCAACTGTCTGAAAAATTGTCACTGGAATTATAAAAAATTCAATAGAAACTCCATTGGGAGGCTAATTGTAGTAGTAGATACAAAATAGTTATTTTAATTTTAAATAAATTTTTATTTGATATTAGTTTTTCTAATATAATATATAAATATCATATTACATATAAAAAATAATAATTATTTTCATTATTTAAAATTTAATATGTAAGAAATGTAACTCAATTGAAAAGTAAATAAGTAATCATGAGATATAATAATGAGTGATTAAAAAAAAAGAATACATATATAGACTAAAAAGTTCACATGTTTAATGTAATTTTAATAGAAATTTTATGAACAAAATTAATTAATAACAAAAACTACTTCATATAAATTTTAATTTTTAATAGTTAATAAAACAATTGTTATATTGCAATGAAAAATGCAACGGTCAGGTATTCTACTGAAAATTGCAACGAATATTTTATTGATATAATTTTCATTGGAAAATTGCATTCGCTATTACAATAGAATTCAAATTAAAGTACATTGAAATTTTAGTGGATTTAATGATTAAAATTACCATTACATATTGTTGTGTGAATTTTATTGGAATTTATTTTTGGACCATATATATTTCAACTGTTGGAAAAACTGTCACTACAATTGTAAAAAATTCAATAGAAGTTCCATTGGAAAAATAATTGTAGTGGCAGATACAAAATACATTCATATTGTGGACATTATTTAGTTAATAAGTACACAATCAAAATAACATATGTCATTACACTTTATAAATTATACTTTTTCTAATGTGTAATTGTTCTAATCTGTTATACATTTTTACAGCATATAAGTTTTTTTTTTCCTGAAACGACAGAGGTACTATATTAATAAAAACCACACAAAGTGCGAAAAGAAAGCATGCTGAATAGTACAACCAGAGACTAGAAAACTGGGAGACAGATCCAGAGATCGCCTAGAGCCGACCCAATAGGATAATACTCGGAAAAACACACTAAAAACACAACCACACTAAACCAACTACACAAACAAAACTAAAAAGGATCCCAACGGGATAATACCCGAGTGTTTGATCCCAACAGGATAAGAAGTTGACACTCGGGCTCACAGGGGCAACTGCCCAAACTAAAAACCCAAGATTGAATATCACAACGGTGGGCCTCCCTATGACTCAACATCGGAGAAAGAGGGAAAAAAGGGGAGAAGTGGCAGCAGAGCCCCGCTGCTCCGACCCCACCTGAGCGAGAAACAAGTACCCCCACCGAGCCCCCAACAAAAACCCAATCTGTCACCCCGACCTCGCCGATGAACTAGTAACCGGAGGTTACTAGGCTACCCCGACAGGAAACAGAGATCCAACTCGAGCCCGTCTGCTGCAACCGACAAGGAGAGCCGTCCCTCCACAGTGGCGACGCAAGCAAACCAAGCCACCTCCACCCACTGACGCCGCACCCCACCGAGCCCCACCGCCCCAGATTGTCGGCGGGATTCACCAAGATGAGAAAAATTGCCGACCACCCGACCAGCTTCCCACGGCTTGAGACGAAGTAAGAAGGCACCACGACCAGATCCATGGATGTGCGGCGGAGTCCCGTCCACGGACAAGCCCGGACGGCCCGCTGAGAGAGGCAAACCAGCGAAATCGAGGCTAGGGTGAAGACGAGGGTTTGGGGATTTTGTCGGCAGAGCAAATTAAATCAATGAACCTTTTTATTAATTCAATATAATAAAATCAATGAACATAATATATTATTTTTAAAAAGTTTATGAACAAAATTTTTGTTTTGTAGTATCGTTGACTCGTTCGAATACCCTTCCGCTTGTGATATATGATAAATGACGTAACTGTGCTTTTCCCAAATATTGTCATTGAAATATTAAAGTAGATTTTTTTTATTAACTACCTATCTTACTTTAGTTCTCTGTTTTCAGATTTGGCTGGGATTGAATTTTGAAATCTTTATAAACATTATCTGCAAATATCAGTCACTTATCTCCAATTAATATTGCATGCTAATCACAGGTACAAACTTTTGAAAAACAAAATAGAGGAATAGAAGAGAATAAATTTACAATAAGCAAAAGAATATTTAGGGGCAAAATTACAAAAATGATACACTAAGTTGGGCGCTGTCAATAAAAGAGACAATTTGTTGTCCCTCACGGAAAAGATACACTTAGTTGGCTTTTTGCACGAAAAAGATACAAATTTACAAAAATGATACACTAAGTCGGGCATAAGCAATCCAAAGTCAGGCATAAATGATACACTTAGTGTATCGTTTTTGTAAATTTGTATCTTTTTCGTGCAAAAAGCCAACTAAGTGTATCTTTTCCGTAAGGGACACCAAATTGTCTCTTTTGTTGACAACGTCCAACTTAGTGTATCATTTTTGTAATTTTGTCAATATTTAGGATAAGAAAAACTTAAATAAATCCTCACCCTGAATTAAAAGGTGCAGAGTGTGATCTTGCTAGGCCATTTGGCTTTTAGCCTTGGCTAAAACTGTATAAATTGGAGCCATAATGATGACTTGTTTGAAAATCATCCCCAAAATGGAGAAAACGAATATTGGAATAGCACATGTCATACTCCTGATTCTCTTTGTAGGTAAAGAAGATATTTCTTATATAGATATATTCATATTTTATAAAATTAGCATATAATAAGATTTCTCTTACTAAGTCTCATGAATATACATGGAGTAAAAAATTTGTTCTTCAAATTCTTTATTATGTATCCACAATAATCCTACATGATTTTGTTTTGTTTTTTATTTATTTTTTAATTATACCATAATGATAACGAAAAGCTAAATTTTGAAAATTTCGCTAGTAAATTTCTAAGATCATGCAATTTGGTCTCTCGGCTAAATGTTATAATATCATATAATTATGTATTGTAAAGCATTTTAGTTGCATGATACAATTGCATATATATTGTAAAGCATTCGAGACAAATATGTGTTGGTTAATTATTTTGCTAGCTAATTAAGGAAAAATATGTGCAGGTGGAATAGTAGTGGAAAGTGAAGCAAGAATTTGCTGGGCAAAGAGCCGGAAATTCCAAGGGCAGTGCAACCACGAACGCCATAGCTCCAACTGCAGAACAATTTGCAAAAGTGAGAAGTTCAACTCGGGTAGATGCAAACATTGAACGTGCCAGTGTTGGAGGCGATGTGGTCCCGTGGAACCTCGCCGGCCGCCTCCTTCACCGGTAATTGTGGGCCCTCCCGTTATCGATCCCCCTGATGTCGACACTCCAGCTGATCCAATGACGGTGACTAAAGTTGAAAACCAACGGATGTGATAATTAGTTGGAATAAATAAATAAATTGAAGTTTTGTGATGTTTATTGACTTTGGGTTTGTTGTTGCATTAGTCACGAGGAAGAACATGATATAT